CACATTCCCGCCCGAGCCGCCTCTCTGCTCGATTTCTCTACTCAGAAAATCAGCTGGCTCCTGCCTCTGTGACCCCGAAGGTGCCTCCTGGTGGCCCCGAAGGTTCTAGCATTGGCCTGAGCGGTATGTGTGAGCTGTGACCATCACCAGTGTTATGAGGTTTTGAAGGGCACTTTGGCCCTGGATATGAGCATGGTCAAATGATGAAGACGTGGACCCCAGATGGCCACATGCCTGCCGTGTCTGCATCACACTCAGGCAATGGCAGCACGGGGTGAGCGGAGCTGTGGGGTGGCCGGCCGGGCACAGACCCAGTGGCCTGGGGTGGGGTGCCGGGCACAAGACGGGAGCACGCCCCGGGCCGTGGAACCCTGCGGCCCAAGGAGCGCCACCAGGCCCTCGGTTCCGGGAATCTGCTGACGGGCTGTGGCCGTGATGACGGCCAGAGCCGTCACCTCCCCTGGGGCTCACCGGCTGCCCCCTCTCCGCGCCCCATGAAGCACTGCCTGGCAGCACCTGCGGACAGAATTGCCTGTCACAGGGCCCCAGGCTGGGGCCTGCTGGCCTGTCTCCAAGGAGGCGTCTTGCCAGTAAAGGGCCTGTCAGACTGTGTGAAGCAGGGAGCTGACTCCAAGCCCCAGAACAGGCCGGCCAGCGTGGCTCCTGGCCAGCTGGCGGTCAGAGGTGCTCCAGGGGCCACCTGGGTGGACAGCGACCGTGTGGCAGGCCCCTGCGAGCGAGTGGGCACGCGCCCCGAATTCCCAGGGTGAGAGCCCCCACAGAGTCATAGGGCCGCCTGGTGGCCGAGCCCTCCCTGCCACGCCCCGTTGCTCACACAGGGGCTTGGGGAGACTCTGCAGGGGACCCCAAGCTCTGGGGCTACAGACCCAGAGACTAAAACACCCCCAATTATTATTTTTGAGGAATATTCTGGATTCCATCCCGGTTTTCCTGTTGACACGGCCTGTTTTCCTTTTTACCTTTCTCACCACACTTGTAGCTGGAGTCACGTTGACTTGCCGTCTTCTTGCCTACCTGATTGTTAGACAGCGCTCTCTTTAGACAAAACCTAGCACAGAACCAGACCATCTGGGGGAAGAAAAAAAAAGCAAGGAAACACAACCTGCATTCTCTGTCTGAACTGGAAGAAAATACGGTATTTAATGCCTTTTGCTTCATATTTATCCTGGCATGCAGAACAGATCAGCTGTCTTCCAGTCGCGCTGGGCCCTACATGGGCTGTTTCTCCTTCCGCACGGTCGATCATGTCAGAGACCCCGAAAAGCTGCCCGGAAGGGGGTGTTGTCACTCCTGCTAGAGTCGAACATCAAACACAACCTGTCACTCGGAACTTACATTTGATGAACCGTCATCATCAAGGGAACGTCATCGTGACGGCGCCATCGCCGGTGAGGAGCCATTTAGTATGTGCTGAGAGCGTCCTGGCTCCTGGCTGCAGAAAGCATTTTCTTTACGGGGCTAGAGCTGCCCAGGAGGCCGCCGCCCTTGCTAAAACTCCGATGGACAATATGCAAGTCAGAGATCTAGACTCAAGAGACTCCTTGCTGCACGGTCACATTTATAGGCAGCGTCCAGAAAAAGCAGATCTCTAGGGACACACGTCCTTGGGGGTTGCCTGGGCTCCGTGTGACGGAAAATGATTGTAAGTGGGCGTGAGGGATTTGGGGGGGGTGCAGATGTGCGGGTGCGTGACATGGTCACGATCCCACCACTCCACGTATCGTGTGGGGTTGTAACCGTGTCTCTGCGGTGCTGTGAATATGCCTGTAGTAGGGTTGACGGCGCCCAGCCGTCTGGGACCGTCAGAAGCCCAGAATGTGGCCGTAGGTGAGATGGGAGCTCCGCAGGGGTCACTAGCCGGCCTGAGGCCGCCCCTCATGGGATGGGTCCTGAAGCCGGTGTCCTTGTGACAAATCCCTGTGGAGACCCGGGAAGCACCCGAGGTGGATCACAGAGTGCAGGTGGGCGGAGACCGCAGGGGTGCAGCGACTCGGACGCTGAAGGGACACAGGACCCCAGAGTCCCGTGGCCTTGTGGCCCTGCGGCTGCCTTGACTCTGAGCCTCCAGAGCTGCCGGGAAGGGGGTGTGCCGCGTGCGTCACCCCGTGTGCTGCTGCTTACAGCAGCCCGTGAGGAAAGGGTAAAACCCTAAACCCGCTCCAGCCGGACGCTTCGCTAGGTGAATTCCACGGTGTCCGAAATACGCCCAGTGGAGCTGTTCACGAAATGTCTCCCTCAGAAAAGGAGAGGACTTTTTCTTTATTCTGGTGACTCATTTTTCTGATTCCTTTTTGTTTTCTCTACACTCCTCCTATAAGTGAAGCCGTTTGATATCTTTTTCTTTTTCTCTCTGGCTTGTTCCGCGGGGCACATCACCTCCAGCTGCAGTCACATTGCCGTGAGGGGCATGAGCTTATCCTTGTTGAGTGCCGAGTCATATTCCACTGTGTACATAGACCGCCTCTTCAGAGATACTCTGCAGGGGAGGAGAAGGGACAAGGGCCAGAGTGGATGAGCACAGGTGATGGCACACGGGGGAACAGGTGGTGGGGTTTTCACGGGGCAGCAAACATTGCACAAGAACGAAGGGAGATGTGATGAACATGTAAACATTTTTTATATGAGAGGAAAGGGGGGTCAGAGACCACACCTGAGGTCACAGAGGTCGTGTTCTCAGCTGGTAGCAGGCAAATTCTCAAAATTGGGGGTTCCCAGTGCTTTCAAGTTGTCCGCCACACAGCTTTGCACCCTGCTCTTGGCAGCTCCCCACACACCTGCTACCTGCAGACAGGCCGGCCGCCCCGCCCCCCCGAGGCTCCCGCACTGGCTCATGTTCTCAGGCCACCCGGCCAGCCACGGGGAGATGCTGCCTGGTTCCAGCCTTAGAAGGTTCGGGGTTCCTTCTAAGCAATTGTCCAGGAGGGCTGGCTGGCTTGTCAGGTGACAACAGAGAGCCTAAGTGTGGGCTTCCCTGCGCAGGGGAGTGAGGGTCTCGCGGCCCAGGCCTGGGAAAAGGAGATAAGCACTGCTGACGAATAGACTGGGTTTGGCAATTTGCAAGCCTCGCTAGTCCGGTCTGATAACTTCTTATTTCTTTCTCGTGTTTTAAAAATGAAGGACTTGGCGTGGGTTTACTGTTGGGTCTGTATCTCGAGTTCTAGCATCCAGGCCCTTGGGCCTGACTCAGAGGCGGTGGCTGTTTCCTGATGTTTCATCGCCGGGTTTGTGCACCCACGTGCGGCAGAGGCTGACCCGGGAGAATTCAGGGCCTGGGCGGCGGTGGGGGCGGGAGGCCTCCTTCCTGGGAGTTTGCTTCCGCCGCTGTCCTCGGGCCTGTTACTGAAGCCGGAGCTGTGCCCTACTGATCCATTAGCGTAAATTCAGCCCGAGCCCATCTAGGGCCCAGGCCAGTTGCAAATTCTCAGGGCCGACTTTACTTTCACTCCTTCACAGCGTGAGCTAAGGCCGTCGGTTTCTGCCTCGGCTTCATGAAGCATTTTCATTCCTGTCACGTTGAGATGCAGGATAAAGGCAGACCCTGAAGGAGCCGGTCTGTGAGTCTCACTTTTAGCTCCTGCCTCTGGGGCAGAAGCACCAGTGCCGTGAACTTGCACTGTGTCTGGCTTCTGGGCTGTCTCTCTCCCTTCAAGGCTGGGTGTAGACAGGCGTCTGCTGGATGACGCCGTTCAGGGTTGCCGGTGGGTCGCGGGATGAGAGGACGGTCTCAGGCCACCTGAAAGCTGATGGTGGAGCAAAAGTCAGTAAATTACTTTTGGGGTGGGTGAGCCGGAGTTTGAGGAATTTCATCAGTCGGCACCTCTGTTTTCTCAATGAGTGGAGGGCAAAATTCCCTGCCATGGCTGGGGGGAGGGAAGCAACGGCCTGTGTTTGGGAGGACATGGGAGAGGCTGTCTGGAAGAAATCTCGCAACTTCGGCAGCACCGAGGCGCCCCTCGGTTGACAAGCAGGTGTTATTTCCCTTTTTTTTTTTTTTAAAGATTTTTATTTACTTATTCATACAGAACTGGGGTACAGGCCAGAGATGCGGAGGGTGAGAGGCTTCCCCAGAGACAGAGTGGGGAGCAGAACAGGCAGATCGACGAAGTCCACTGCTGAGGGGAGCAGCGGGTGGGCCAGGAGAGGTCTGCCACGCCATGTGGATCTTCTCTGGGGCAGGCGGGGATCGAACTCATGTGGAAATGGCTTAAGCTTCTTTGTGATGATCTTTAACCGGCTGCGCCACCAGGGAGGTCCGAGCAGGTGTTATTTCTGCAGTTGAAAAGATAATGAGAAATGTGGCAGGGCAGAGAGAGGGGTGAGTGCTTCCTGGAGGGGCCCTTCCGGCCTAGTGGGGAGCCCTCCTCATGCTCTGTGTCCTCAGGGCTGGTCCGGGTCCTCGGCGCATCCCTCACGGAGTGGGGCGCTCGGCCACTCGCTCGCTCGGTCACCACCTCGCTTTCTCGGCCACCCCCCCCCCCCCGGTCTGCGGTTCTGGCTCAGCAGTTTCCCGAGTAACCTCTCCCAGAAGAACCCCCTTTCTGCATGAGTCGGTGGGGGCTTAAGTGGGGGAGAGCCAGGCATTGCCAAGTAAGTCCCGGCCTCTTCTGGGTTTGCAGTCCCTGCGATGATAACGTCTTACCCGAACACCACCCTGGCCACTCAGGGCCAGAAGAAGGAAATGAGCTGTGCGGCCCACGGTGAGAAGCCCATCATCGTCCGCTGGGAGAAGGAAGACCGGATCATCAACCCCGAGATGGCCCGTTACCTCGTGTCCACCAAGGAGGTGGGGGAGGAGGTGGTTTCTACCCTGCAGGTAAGGCGCGGCGGCCTGAGGGTGTCCTTCCACATGGGGGGCTGGGGGTGATAAACGAGCCCCTGGAACTTCTTTATGAAGCGCCGGCTCTCTTCGCCTTCCTGCAGCGAGATTACAGAGTCGCCTGCAAAAATAGCACTTCGCAGTGTTATTAAGACCAACATTATTATGAACACGGCAGGGAACCCAGCTGTAATAAAAAAAAAAAAAGTGAGAAGTAGCAGCTTCTCATGGCAGTGAGTCCCAGGGGACGGCCACTGGGCTTTGTGCGTGTTTTAGCATTCGGGCTTTGGGGCAGCAATATTATTATACTTTGCCTCTTTGCAAAAATGCAATGTAAAAATCCATCTCTGGTACAGCATCCCAAGAGCCAGGGAAAACTGAAAAGGTATCCTAGGCTCTGAGCCGCTCAGCCCCGTCGGTAATCACGGAGTGGTGCTGTTGTGCCAGGCTGCTGCCACCCACGTGTGGGGTGAAACAAGTCCTGTGTTTCAGACCCCAGTATCGACTCACCCAGAGCCCAGCCCTGGAGCCGCGCGCGGGGCTCCGTGTGTGTCCTGGGGGACTGAGGCTTCTCTACAGAATTTATAGATCTGCTGTGGGGGGCAGGTTGCTCTGAACGTTTCAAAGGCACACAGCCAGGGAGAAACGGGCCTGTGGAGTACAAGTGGCCGTGACCGTGAAGCTGGACGTAGATCCCATGGCCACTGACGAGCGGCAGCTGACCCGCCAGCGCGCCTCGAGCCAGCCGGCCGTCTGCACGTGGGCGGCGATGCCCACATAATTGGCCCCGAGGGAGGGGTGCGCGCGTGCGTGCCTGTGCGTGTGAGCGTGCGTGCGCTTGTCTGTGCGTGCAGGCGCCGGGGCCGGCACGCAGGAAGGGGCAGCGGTGTTTGCTGCCCAGAGCCCTTTGGCTTGTCTCTCCCTCCTGCTGCGGTAAGATGGGTTTCTATCTGCTTACACGTAGATTTTGCCGACTGTACGGGAAGACTCTGGCTTCTTCTCCTGCCACGCTATCAATTCTTATGGGGAGGACCGTGGGATAATTCAGCTCACGGTGCAAGGTAAGGAGCCAGAGCCACGCCACGCGTGCAGGTGCCCAGGCGCGCAGTCGGCGGGGCGGGGCGCTGGCTGGGAGCAGCTGACTCCCAGGGGCGCCGTGTTCCTGCGAGGCGGGTGCAAGGTGAGCCCCTCAAGGTGCAGCCCCCTCCCCCGGCACAGGGGCGCGCCCTGAGCACCCGGGGCCGCAGAGTAAGCAGTCCTGCTCGTGACCGGCGGCCGTCCTGGGCCTTCTTGGCTCAGTCGCGGAATCGGTCCGGACCCCTCTATCGTGAGGCCAGGAAGTGTAGCTCTCGGGGCCCCGTAGTTCTTGAGTCGTAGATTCCAAAGCCAGAGCGTGGCCTGAAAGTCCCGGCTGCGCCCGCCTGCCAGGGTATGCCGGTGGCAGTTGGGAGGCTAGACTCTCTCCTTCCTGAGGCTGAACCGAAAATAAAATGTGCCCCCAAGCCCAAGGCGCCCCCGCCCCCGCGCGGAGCCGGGGGCCCTGTGCCCTCGAGCGTGGTGAGCCCAGGGCCCCGAAGACGTCAGCGCCAACCCAGGTTTCCTGTCGTCACACAGAACCCCCGGACCCGCCCGAAATCGAGATCAAAGATGTAAAAGCTCGAACAATCACCCTCAGGTGGACGATGGGCTTTGATGGGAACAGCCCCATCACGGGCTACGATATCGAGTGCAAAAATAAATCAGGTGAGTCCCTGACTTCCTCCAGCTTGTCCGTCTGCGCAGATGGCCCTTTCATTGTGGTCCCTTTTTCATTGTGGTCCCTTTTTGTCGCGCATTCTGCCGTGGAGGAACAAGCCGTCTGCGGAAGCGTGGAGGGGCCTTCCGCCACCGTCCTCTCCTTGCTGGCAGCAAGGGCGCCTGGATCCCATCGGGAATAGGGCTTTAGGGAGACACAGGCCTCTCCCCGCCCCCCGCCTCCTGGACCCTGCTGCTTTCCTGGGTCCCTTTGACTTTCTGGCCACTGGCAGCAGTCTGGCCACTCTCACGCCCTCACCCTGCTCCCTCCGGCCCCTGGTCTCTGCTGGAGCGGGGTGCACCAGAATGGGGAGCTGCTCTTGCTGAGAGGTTGGGGCCAGCACCCCTAGAAACACACAAGGATGCCCCTACAGCTCTCGCCCTGCGCCCCAGAACCCCTGTTTCCTCTGGGCCCCCTGCCAGAGGCTCCAGGAGGACAAAGGTCAAGCCCACCCAGCTGGCAGGACCCAGCAGCAGGGCCAGTTACGGCTCCCATGCCCGGGAGGCCCGGCCAGCACCAACAGGCCATCGCCGCAGGAGCCCCAGGCTGGCTGTTGGGGGGGATACTCCAAGGCTGACCGGAGACTTGCGGTCAGCAACTGGAGGGGCACGCATGCCAGAAAGATGGACAGTTTTTCACCCAGACCGAGCAGTCAGGAGGGGCAGGGAGTGTTGGGGCCTCTGGAGAGGATGCAGTGAGCCGTCCTCTGTCACCAGGAACTGTGATGGCCACGGTGGCCCAGGGCCGGCCGGCCCGGTGGCCTAGGTGGGGGCAGTGCCCGCATCTCAGGCAACGGGCTTCCCAAGGGCAGCAGAGAAGAGAGGCCGAGGCCAAGGCATTCTGGGGCCGGGAGCCGGGAGCAGGCACAGAGAGTGGCCTGGAGAGACGTCACCCAAGAGCCACACAGTTCTCGTGCCTCCGGGGCCTCACAGGCGCTCCCGTGGCTGACGCGGGGCCACTGCCCTGGGGCGGACTCGGTGGCCAGGAGGTGACAGGAGCTCAGCGCCCCAATCCGGGGCACCAGGCATTTTCGGATGGGGCCGCCCAGTCCGGGGTGAGGGCCCGCCAGCCCTGCGTTTCCCGGCGGGGCACTCGCCCATCTTCCCCAGCCTCTGCTGTGCGGTGTGTCGGCGGCATCTGCCTGCAGCCGGACGCCCCTGTCCTCCCGCGCCCCGGGCGCCCCGGGGCCTCCTGCCCCTCCTGCATCTGGCTCAGCCCCACCGCCTGCGCCTTCCTCGGTGCGCACGTGCAGCTCGCAGCCCCGGCGGCCCAGGGTGCTCTCTGGGGAGGGAGCAGCGGCCCTCCGCCCTCCGGCTCGCAGGTGCTCCTCGGGCTCGTGAGGAGCCGGCACACCCTGGGCCTTCGCCATCACGGGCTGCCTGGAGACGCGGACACCATCCCGGGTCTCCCCACTCTCCTACACACCCCCCCAGGCAGGACTCTGCTTTGGGGTGTCCCCGTGTCCCCAGCACTTGCCCTGTCCATTGCACTTAAGCCGCATGCACAAGCTTTATGCCCAAACATAAGCATCCTCTTCGCTAGCAAGTCGAAGACTCGAGTCTGGGGGCCGTCTTCATGGCCCAAGCTGGGGCTCGCCTCCACCTCCATGGCACCTCAGCTGTGTGGCTGGTGAGATGCCGCCGCAGCAGAGCAGGGCCCCTGACCACTGGCCGCAGCTGCCAGAATCCAGGGCACGTCCCGTCCTTCACCCTCCGGCTCCAGCCCAGCTCAGCCGCAAGGTGGCCAGGGGTTGACCGGCCCCGGAGCAGGGGGCTGCAGGACACAAGGTCAGGAGAGGCCCAGGCACAGTGGACCCAGCACCGGCCCTATGGAGCCAGCTGGCGGGCCCGGGAGACGCCCTGCTGCTGCTTCAGAGGCTTCCTGCCCGCCCCGCCAGCCTGAGCCACGCACCTCTCCCAGCCTACCCCACAAGCCCCGTGGCTCGCCTGAGCCGTGTCCTGCATCGCTCCAGAAGCCCCGTCTGGAACCTGCCAGAAAGCCCTCGCACCGGATACTCCCTCTGGGGCACTGCGCGCCAGGAGGACTGGGGCTGTGGGGAGCGCCCAGGCGTGGCCCAGCCGGCGTCCCGGGGCAGCAGGCGTCTGAGTGACATTCACAGTGAGGGGAAACTGCTGACGTCACCAGATGCTCTAGCTGGTCTCGGACTGACCCAGCGAGCAGGACTTTTAAAATGAACAGGCCGCTTACCCAACAGGACAGGGGAAAGCCCGGTGGGTAATGGGCAGCAGACACGCACCAAGGAGGAGACCAGGACACAGCGGCCGCTTCGGCGCTGCCCACGCAGCGCACGCGGGAAAGGCCCCCCGCGGGGAGAGGGCAGTCGACAGGGGCGGCCGCTGCGGGAAACAAGCCGGGGTAACTCACGGGGGCGACAGCACGACCCAGAATCCCAGCCTTGGGCATCTGCCAGAGTGCAGAAACTGCCCCCTCAGAGAACTGCCTTCCACGCAGGGCCGACTGCACAATGCGGTCACAGCTGGGACATGGAAGTGGCCGAGGGCCAGGGAGAGGCCTGGCCAGGAAGATGCGGTGCTGATAGCGGCGCCCGGGGCCCCCACTCCGGCCAGGGACACTGCAGAGTGGCCCACCACTCCCCGTCTGAGTCCTTCACCCAGAAGCACAACTGCCCGGCTCCTCGTTTGCAGAGAACAGCAGCAAAGGCGTTTACTTCACAAGCCGGGGAAAAGCAGTTACTGAGGCCAGGATGGCCGTCGACCTCACCCGAAGCCGTGTCCAGTGTTCTAAACCCCAGATCCAAACGGTCCCACGATGGCGTCTCCCGCCGCTGGGCCTGGAGCACGAGGCTGCCGGCCACTGGCCGGCCCCGGCTCACAGGAAGCAGGAGACGCAGCGGGAGGTGCTCACCGAGCTGCCGGGCCGCAGCCCAGGACCAGCGACCCCGCAGCGTCAGCCCCGGGCCTGCCCTCCCCCTGGCCGGGAGGCTGCGGGAGGCCTCTCAGGGCCTCAGAGGCCCGCGGCGGCCTTCTCGAAGCCGGCGTGGCGGGGGCCGAAGTCGCCCAGCCCGAGTCCCCGAAGACCCGAAGGCGCGCGCATCCTGAGCAGGAAGCTGCAGCACTGTCTCGGACGCCGAGCCCCCCCCGAACCTGAACCCCAAGTCCTGCGGCTGCCTCCGCGGTCCCTCCTGTCTCCCGGCAGTGTCCAGCCCTGAGGTGTTACCGCGTGCACGCTGTCCCTGGGCCTCCGCCCTGCCCCCGGGGCCACCTCTGAGGCCGTCAGCCGACCCTGTTCCTGCCCTCGCAGCCAAAGGGGAAGAGCTGGAGGGGGCCGGCGGGGAGCCAGGCGCCAGAGAGCCAGTCGGCGGGGCAAAGACACGCGGGGCCACGTGCACACGGTGGGCAGAGCCCCCGCGATGCCAGGGGACGCCCGGAGCCGAAGCGGGGCTCTGAGGCTAGGGACAGAGGGCCGGGCCGGGCCTGGCAGCGCAAACCGCCCGCGCT